GATTAGCTAATGCGAGTCGATTACCTATAGTGTCTATCAAATGCTTCGCGATATATTAATGGGATGCTAGATTAGTTTTCGTTTGTACGTTACTTGGACTATTTGTTAACTACTATATTTGTCTTCGTTCCTGGTTTCTAGTGTGACTGCGTCGCGCAGCTACCTTATGTTAAACTCTGGCGTTATGTGGCTGTGCCCTCGATTAGTGGTAACACTGAATTTACTCATTTTCTCCAAACTTGGTCACTTTACTTTTGCAATAACAATTACTATTATATATTTTCAGTAAGCCAATAAAAACATAAGATTGTTTTGCAAAATTAAAATTTCTATAAAGTATATAAATCTAGCTTCTTATATATCCGATATAATTGATTAAAATACTTTTTAAATCAATGTTTAGTAGTTTTTACAAATTCAAATCTCTATTTCAAAAATTAAAAAGAATATTTTTATTTTTATTAGAGGCATTTTCTAATATTACTTGTTCTTCAGGGCTAATATTAATAAGTATAATATTTAAAAAAGTTAAAGTGGTGTTTTTGTGAAAAGCTTCTATTAATGCTTTTCCACCTCCAAAGCCAATTTTATTTCCTTCAAGATCTAATGAAATTAAAGTGGTATTGTTACAAAGAGCCCTTGCTAGTTCTTTTCCTTCTTCAGGACCCAATTTATTATAACTAAGATTTAACGATGTTAGAACAGTGTTTTTGTAAAGAGCTTTTGCTAATGCTTGTCCATCTTTAGGATCTAATTCATTTTGTCGTAATTTTAAGGAAGCCAAAGTAGTGTTTTGACAAAGAGCTTCTGCTAATATTTTTACTGCTTCAGAACTAAGTTTACTTTGTTCAAGATTTAAAACGGTTAGTGTAGTATTTTTGCTAATAGCTTCTGCTAAAGCTTTTCCACCTTCAAAACCAAAAGGAATTCCCTCAAGATTTAAAGAGGTTAAGGTAGTACTTTTGTAAAGACCTTTTGCTATCATAATTTGTCCTTCTGAATTAAGTCTACACCATTTGAGGCTTAAGGAACTTATAGAAGTATTTTTGGCAAAAGCTTCTAATAACGAATTTCCTTCCTCATTATCAAGTGAGTCATATTGGATATTAAAAGATGTTAAAGTGGTATTTTTGCAAAGAGCTTCCGCTAATACTTTTCCTCCTTCTAAACCAAGCTTACTAGATCCAAAATCTAAAAAAGTTAGAGTAGTATTTTTACAAAGAGCCTTTGCTAATGCTTTTTTTCCCTCAAAACCAAAATTATTATTACCAAGAACTATAGAGGTCAACGTTGTGTTTTTGCAAAGGGCTTCTGCTAATGCTTTTCCCACTTCCAAATCAAGTTCGTTGTATTGAATATCTAAAAATGCTAAAGTCGTATTTTTGCAAAGAGCCTTTGTTATTGCTTTTCCTCCTTCAGAACCAAGATCATTATGCGAAATATCTAAATAAGTTAAAGCAGTATTTTTGCTAAGAGCTTCTGCAAATGCTTTTCCTCCCTCAGAACCAATTTTGTTAGATTGAATAATCAAGCGAGTCAAAGAGGTATTCTTGTAAAGAGCCTCTGCTATTGTTTTTCCTTCTTCAGGACCAAGTTTACAATGACTAATATTTAAAACAGTCAGTGTAGTATTCATGCAAAGGATTTTTGCTAAAGCATCTCCTTCCTTGGATCCGAATGAATTAATTTCCAAATTTAAATAAGTCAAAGTAGTGTTTTTGCAAAGAGCTTTTGTTAACGCTTCTTCTTTATCAAGTTCGACCCAACTATAACTCATATTTAAAGAAGTTAGAATGGTGTTTTTGCAAAGAACTTTTGCAAGTTCATTTCTATCTTCAAGTCCAATAGTTCTAAAACTTAAATCCCAGTTTGAAGCCTTTTGTTTATCATCATTGCTATGCTGACTATTATTGAGAATTTCTTCATAAAGTTCTAATGCTCTGACAACCTTTACCTCAAACATACATTCACGTACTTCTTTTCTTTTATTTACAAGATCGTCTTGGATTGAGAAATTTGAAACTTGTTGAACTAAAGTATTATCATCTTTGACTGAAAGATCAATATCAATTGTGTTAGACATATAAAGTGGTGATGATGTTGTGACGTCAAGCAAATCTAAATGTACAGCCATACTATTTTGCTGATTTGAGGATAAAGTTTCGTCATTTTGAACAGATGTTTCATTATAAATAGGTTCATTCAAAGGTTCATTAAGAAATAGATTTAAAGTTGCAATAATTGAACTTGTTTCCGGACGAACATCAGGACTCTTGTCCCAACATTGGCTGTAAAGTTCAATATATTGAGATGGAGTACCTTTTATCGGTTCTTCTCTATTTCCTAAAAATATATGAATAACAAGTTCATCTCTTGATACAAATGATTGAAATGGTGGTTTACCACTTGAAATTTCCCAAAGAATTACACCAAAGCTATATATGTCAGATTTCTTATTACGTTTATATTTATGGTTAGTAAGACATAGAGGTTCTATGTATGCGGGCATTCCTTTAACAGTTGTGTTTGAAGTCGTAGAGTTTAATGTATCATTTATCTGTTTTGACAGACCAAAATCCGCAATTTTTGGTTTTCCTTGATGAATTAAAACATTCTTTGAATGCTATATATAAAAATCACAAATGTAAATTATCAATGTAACTTATAAATATTTTAGATTTATATTATGTTAATGAATTAAGAAAGTAAATTTTTATATACTCACAAGGTCCCTGTGAATAATATCATTATCATGTAAGAAAATGAGACCCTGCAATATTTCCTTAGCAATAAGTACTTTATCTGACCATTGTAATTTTATAAAATTTTTTTCTAAATATTCCCGTAAATTTCCATCATTAGCATATTGTAAAATCAGATTATAATTTCCGATATGATCTATGAATTTATAACAAGAATTTATAATGAATATAATTTATTTATTTCTATATTAATGCTTTAAAAATACCTTTAGTAATTCCGTAAAATGCAATAATATTTGGATGATAACCAACTTTTCTTAATAATTTTAGCTTATTGTATACGTAAGATATAAATTTCCAAAAGTTTAATTTACAATTTAATAATTTAATAATATATTCTATAAAGTAGATTTAATTTATTAGTTTATACCTCATTAATAAATTCTTTTATAATCTCTTTATCTAATTTTATATCGACTTTGAGGCATTTAAGAGCGATGATTAATCCACAATCTTTCCATTCGAATTTAGAAACAGTTCCAAAACCTCCAGTACCGATTATTCCACTATACGTAAGCTTGTTATATTCAAGATAATTAATATGTCCTTCGGATATAGCATTCTCGAGCCACTCTTCTGGAGTACTCTCCATAATGATAAAAAATAATCACAATCTGTTTAAGAAAATCGATATTACTGGATATGTATGTAACGGTAATACAAGATGTCAATTATTAGGTACGTATAACATCGGGAATTTCAACTAGTAATAGCAAAATGGCAAGATAATCAAGATGGCCCGAGATTATTTATCATCAGTATTTACACACATTTCTTTTAAAAAAGTTGAAATGGACAAATAGATATCTTGAAGTTGAGTTCTCGGGTGAAACATTACACCTTTAACAAAAGAAAACAAATGTTTAAAGATAAAATAATTGTGAAACTTAAATAGTTCCAAATAAATTTATTTATGCTCGCAAATAATTACTGAAAATTTCAATATTACAACACCAAGTCTTCAAAATTTATAATCCTATTTTTAAAGTATTAAAAATAAATGATAAAATTGGGTTACTTGTATAAGCGCACTAAAAAACGTAAAATCGTCTATTTATATAATTTCAAATTGAAGCGCACAGCAAAATAAATTAAAAATTAAAAAAAAAAGCAATAGAACAAAAAAATATATTAACATATTATTATATTAACATATATATATATATATATTGAACGACCGAGCGAACATAATGAAATATTTAGTTTTTACTATTCGGTTTTTTTACAGCTGTTTATAAAAATTGACCGATTCGATTAAGTTTGTGATTTCGGCACAATATATACAATAAAAATTACATACGCGTAACTTCTACATTAACAATCCATAGTGATTATTGCATTTGCATTACAAAAGTTTTGCCAGCACTATGAAGGTTTTGGCCAATGTTATTTTACATGCAAAATTATATATTAGAAACTTTACTTAAAAATTGCGCAAATTTCATAGAAGACGTATGATACTTTCTACAGATAATTCTGACATTATAAATATTGATACGTTCAATATTATTAAATTTCATTTTACTATTTGCCGAACATGCTTAGTGTGCTTAGTTTGTGCGAAAACATATGAGTGCCGTCAAGGAAAAATCTGTCATCGGGTCGGGCTTTCAATTTTATCATGTACCGGACACAATCAATAATAAACCAAATTCATAGGCAAAAGTTCGTCTGATTGGCTAATAAATTTAATTTTACATTATTTATATAGTTTAGAGTACTTTTTAAAAAAACGAAAACCAAGTAAAAAAAACCATAGAGAAGGTTTCATTAGAGTTGTAGGACTATATAGTCAAAAATAAGATCTCCGTTAAAAAAAATTAGCTTAGTAATAAGTTGATTTTATTGGGTTTTGAGAAGTTATTACTATACTAACTTTTTTAAACGGACGAGAATTAAACTTTATTTTTGGCTATGAAGTCTTAGTTTTTTTTTTATTTCATTATGATTGGTTTTCGTTTTTTTAAAAAGTACTCTAAACAGTATAAATAATGTAAAATTAAATTAATTAAATTGAATTTATTAGCCAATCAGACAAACTTCTGCCTATGAAAACCAAATAGGTTGAGTCCGACACAAAATATAATTGAAAGCCCAATGACAGGTTTTCCCTTGACAGCACTCATATATATCAAATTATAATGTAATAATATATACGTACGTGTGTACCTGAAATCAATAACTTAACCGGATTGACCAAAAATTCATTCGGTCAATTTTTATCAAATGTTCCAGGAATTATGTAAAAGAAACATTTCCACCGCGTCGACTTGAGTTCCGAACCGGATCCATATAATCTGAACCGGTTTAAAACGGTTTGAATAATATTGATGGTAAGAATTATGGATGACTAGCTTTTTTTAAATTTCAAGTGTGAAATTTAAATTCGATATTATCGAAAAAATGAAACAATTCAAATCAGAAATCCGGAAAAAAATAATACGATATATAAATACAAACCTGGAGAGACTTTATGATTCAACATCAATTTAGCGCAGGGCAGACATAAACTTAGGAACAATGGTATTCTCTCTTCGTCGTACTCGTCGCGGATTTTATATTGTTATCACCGAACAATATTCTCGAATAAAGTTGTTACTTTATACAGTATTGGGATATGTGGTCGATCCGGATGGGGAAGAGCTCAAATCAATACACAGCTCAGATCGTAAGCAATAGTGACAGTGGGTACAATGAAATATATCGAAGGTACTACTAAAAGTTCAAAAGAGATCTATCCCTATCGAGCCTTTATATAATTTTCTATTACAGTATTGAGTGCTGCCAAGGGAAAACCTGACATCGGGCTTTCAATTATATTCTTTGTCCAGAATGCCGTCTTGGGAAAATCTATCATCAGGTTTAATCAATTATATTTTACAAATATAATTAAAAGCCCGATGATAGTTTTTCTCTAGACGGCATTCTGGAAACAAAACTAAACACAAATGGGTGTCGTCAGGCGAAAACAAGGAATTTCGATTTTTGCCGGCACCACTTTCTGATCCGACTTCTGATAGATTTAAATTAAGCATAACATATCGATATATTATATGGTGTTAAATTACATTTTTCGGGTTTGATCTGTGAAATTAATTTCGGAAAACACAATTCCCGGTTTTCGCTTGGTGACACCCAAATATAATTAAAAGCCCGATGACAGGTTTTCCCTTCGATATAACGAAGCTCTGGGGCTGGGGTGTTTTGTTCAATATGTCAAGGTTTTGATCCATTACTATACCGAATATACATATATCGATATAAGTTCGTTATAGTAAGGTACCTTAATGAATCGAAATCTTGATATATCGAACCAAACACCCATATAGCTCTGGAGCTTCGTTAATACTGTATTAGTTATATCAAGGTATTCATTATATCAAGGTAATCTTATATTATAAATAAAAAAATTTTCTTGTTATACAGTATATCAAGGTTTTATATTTAAAATTCGTTATGTTGAGATATTTTTGTAATAAATAATTTTAACTGAAAAAATTCTTCGTTATGATGGCAGATTCGGTTTATATGTAATGAAGTAACATTTCGTAATTACGTAATAATTTTATTAATGGATATTACGAAAGACTTTTAAACAATTTTATGCTATCTACGATCACGCAATTCATGCAAAGCAATCACGTTCCATAAACCGAACCCCGGCGCTATGAATTACCGGGGTACTATCGAATGAACCCACACAGTGTATTACATATATTAGCAAGCAAAGAAAATAATAATGAAGGCTTATACAAAGGAAAATTTTTAGTCAAAATTTTCGTGATAGTCGTACGGTACCCTCCGAAGTTTATAACTTTTTTTTAAATCTAGATTAGTGGGATTAAAAACATTTAGATAAATTAGTATAAAAAAAAAAAAGGTGTTTATTTCACAATACAATAATAATGTGCTAAATTTTATGTTTTCTGTGTAATAGTAACAGATTCTAGAGGCTACATATTCAACCGGTTGGATCCAAATCGTAAATTTTTGACCGGTTGAACTGTTTTGACATGAGTGACCCGGTTTACTATAACCCGGTTCTAAACTCTAACGTCGACTACGAGTAGTGGCAGAAGCAGCTTTGGATTGAGATGTTGATGCAGGGCCATTGGCAGCTCCTCGTTTAGTTCTTGTTCTCTTTGTTGTTGCGACCGGATCATTCTGCTCAGTGTTAGTCCCAAGATCATCAGCCGGAGGGTTAAAAACATCCTCATTGGTTTTTTTTGAGGAAGCACGTGTTCTTTTTGCAGCAGGCGCCTCATCATCTTGCTTTGAGACGTCAGCAGAGTCAATTTCAGGAGAGGTACGTTTATTTAAAGTAGATGTCGCAATAGAAGGTGAACCAGAAATAGCGTCAACTGTTGTTGCTATTGCCGCAGCAAACGCATCTTGCTGTTCCCCTGTTGGGAATGCACCAATGAAAGATTCAAACAAAGCAGTATTTTCTGTTTCCGATGGTGGTACCGAAATAGGCATTGTGCTAACATCACCTTGAATTGCACCAACAGAAGTTGTGGAAATAGGACCCAAATGGGGAACATAAACATTTGGTGCATTAGAAACAAGTTTGGAAGCCGAGGCTGCACCATGATCACCGTTATCTTCATTGGAAGAAGTTTCAGGGGGTGATTCTACGTGCCCATGGGTCGCTCTATATACACGAAGTTCTTCATCGTATCGTTCTTTGTCAGCGAAATAGCGGTCTTCATAAACCTATAAATTTATTTATTGAATAAAACTTGTAACTATATAAAATAAAAATGAATAAAATAATTAACTACTTTTTTTTGTTCTCTTGATAAAGCTTTCCATTTTTGACCTATAAGAGTTACGATTTCTTTTTGGTTTGCATTTGGGTTATCGGCTTTTGTCTCAGCGCGAATTTCATTGCTAAACAAAATATAAGCCGTATTTGGACGTTTTGGTGCATTTGGATCTTTTATCTGAGACTTTTTTAATTTTCTTGAATGATGTAAAGAGTGGCCGGATCCACTCATGTGACCATCCCCAGGAACAATACCTACATCCCTTGGGATTAAAGATTGGAATTCATCACAGGCTTTTGCAGCAAATCTAAGTGCTTGAGCGATTTGGTCATATGCATTCACAAGCTTAATTTATCAAACAATGAATTTTAAAAGAATATTCATAATAAGTTATTCTTAAGTCAAAACACGCGCGATCAAGAAATACATACAACATCTCTTTTAGTATTCAATTGACGCAAGAGTTCAGGGTCAACGAGGTGGTCAGGTTGTGTGCCAAAATGTGTTGGGCGCGTGTCGCTGGGCATTTATTCTAAAGATTATTATCGTTTTGTTGATGGAAAGAATAATACACGCAATAATTCAAAGAATTTTCCTGATTAGTCATGAATAAAATAAAGGAAAGGAATTAATGACGTTTAGAAAGTAAAGATATTTGTTAAAGGAAATAAATGAGCAGGAATACATTATTATTAAAGAGTGTCGATAATAATTTTTTAAGTAAAATTTTGGGTTGATGCCAAAATTAACCGAGTCATTGAAAGTCGAAGGATATTTCTTTTAAGGTAGGGAAGAAGTATACCTTTATATTATGATTAAAACACAAAACTTCAAACTTTCGAAATAGGCTTTAAAAAAAGTACAAAGTTGTCAACTATTAATAAATATAAATAGAAGACGCGAATGTACACAAATAGTAGTTGCTTTATTTCGTTTTTTTTTTTTAGTTTCAACTCTGGTCAAAAAGTCAAGTAACTTAAAACGAAGAAACTTGGGCGGTAAATTGTTGACTTAAATTCAAATGTAGGCTGAGGTCAAACAGCCTAGGGGAATAAGGGGATTTGTAATACAAAAAAATCTGACAAATCAGATTTAAATAAGTGAAAATTATTGTATGATCCGGCCAAAATTAAGTTTATATGCGCCAATGAGACAAATAGACTTAAGCCGGGATTGGAACCGATATCATAGTTATACAATATCCCAAGTACGTAAGTACGTGCATCTCATGTATCTATTCAGTAAACTAACCCTTTAACATCTTTAATCCAAGAAAGGGAATATTTCATGTTAATTAAAAGTAGATGTAAAAATAGCAGAAATATAAATATCATCAAATATCATCGGTCAATTGTCCCTGTTGCCCCTTGCTTAGACCTTAAGTGATCTGATCATTGAACATCCAGTGATTGTTAATATCCTATAATACATCATATCGATATTTAGGGAAGTACAAATATCCAACCTCCTAGTTTCAACAGTTATTTCATCTTTCTCGTATGTATATAGTTTTATTTTGAGTGTATTTTCGATTCCTACCTTTTAAATTTATCTTTTATACAAGCAATAACAAAAAAAAAGTGCAAAAATATAGAAAAAAAAAATTTAAAATTATATATATAAGAATTTTTCATTGTTATAATGACCGTATGATTTAAGTAAAGATCATAAGTTTTACATGTCCAAATTACGATTATTGTCTTCATCTTTTTACCCCTGTTCCGAACTCTCAAAATTAAAATTGAGGTTATTTGTACAAGCAAAAGCATCATTAAATCGAAACCACATAATAAAAAAGTTTTACAGTCTGTGTGGTGGATTTGAATACACACTATCAAAAATTTGAGAAAGTTGTGAAAACTTTGAGGAAAGTTTGAGGAAGTTTGAGAAAAAGTAGGTAGCCTAAATAAAATTGTTAGATACATGGAGAACATACAAGAAATTTTAAAAGCAGCGGCAGAATATTTGACACTGGGAAATGTCAAGGTGATTCATATTTTTCTTTTTAAATTGTATGATCATACCATTTATTGGTCTTTACATCTGACCTTTTTTTTTGATTTCAATATTTAGGATGCATACTTCGCTTATATGAATGCACTTGAAGTGGCTTCAAAAGAGTTGAATAACATCAAATTTGTAAATAATGGTAAGAATGGATACACTAAATCTACTAAATAATTTAAATATACCAAATTTCAAATGTAGTTTGCCTTGCATACATTATTTAATATTACTCTTTTATTGAGTGTAGTAGTGGCATCAAAACCTGTGTCATATTCTTCGCTTTTTACGATATCTCGGACGTGTTTATCATATGCAGAAGATATAATCGTTAAACATCAAACTGCTGCTTCATCAACAAGAAAAAATCCAAACCTTAACATAGCCATATATCCTCCTACACCACTGCAAGCAGAACATCCACTTGATCCGCAAAATAAAGCACCTCCAATACCTCCAAAACCAACTCGAAGATCTTCAAGGTTGAGCGACGGTGGGTCATCTCTAACTTCACCAAAAATTGATCAACCAATTTCTCCGACTACAAAACCACCTCTACCTCCTAAGCCTGTTCGTAGACCAAGTATGAAAAGACATTCCGGTGATATTGAAATTTCTGCTGATGGTAGTGATGTCCATGCTGTTTGTGATGACGATGATGACGTTGATAGTTCAGACTCCGATGATGATGGTAGTTTTATACGTGGGCATGGTAATTAATATCGTATGTCATGTGAAATAATATTTTGTTTACATCTTGGACTCATCCACTTATAATTTTATTTTTATAGAATCTTTTCATCGTAGATCTGATCCATCTTTAAACTCTACCCACGCCTTGCACCGACGAAGGTCTTCGTCCCTCAGTGTTCCTGCTACAAAGAGAAGATCCACAATAAATGGTTCGATAACCGACTCTCCTACAGACGAAGAAAGCCCTTATTCTTCTCATTTAACTTCACCTGCTACCCCTGCGTCTTTTTACAGTGCGTTATCGGTTCCATCGTTGCCAAATTTATTTGAACGTCCAAAAATGATTAATGTTATACCCGAAGGTGCAGTAGATCCAAATAACTTGGTTCCGGCTACAACTCTTAGCGATGATAATTATCAATCTCCAAGTTCTCCTTCGTCTTCTCAATATGTGGACCATGTTCCTGATATTCCTTCTTCTCCTTTGTTAACTCAACATGCTCAATTGGAACAAAAGATACAGATTTTAGAATCAAAATTGGCTGAATATCGTGCGATAACAAAAATGAGGGAGGAGGGTAATACTGAAAATAATAATGGTGAACAACCATGGTCTGAATTATCGGATGAAGAGATCAAGGAAGCTATTGCGAAATATAGTTCAACTGTAGCCGGTCTTAAACAATCGATAACAAGATCTCGTAGACTTGTGTATAAAGCTGCTTCCGATCCGGATATTTTAGAGTTTGCTCCTCATATGATATCTTATCAACTGACTCTTATCGAATCTGCTATATTTTTGGAAATTGACCCATATGCTTTACTTTCTCATTCTGCTAAAAATCCAGACCCAAAGATTACTGCTTCAACTGACTTTTTCAATTATTTGACTCGTATTATAGAACGTTCGATTTTATTGCCATTAGAGGCTTCTTTACGTGCTCAAATAATAAATCATTGGGTTAAAGTAGCTGGAAAACTGCATGAATTGCATAATTTTCAGACTTTAAAAGCAGTTCTGTCTGCATTAGGTACTACACCTATCAAAAGACTAAAAAGAACTTGGGCTTGTATTCCAAAAAAGAGTATGGCTAAATTGGATGCTCTCAATGAAATGATGAGTGAAGCAAGAAATTACGGAAAATATCGGGAAATGATACAACGCGATGGATTCCTGAGAAAACCTACAATACCATTTTTAGGAACCTTTATTATGGATGCTACTTACCTACTTGCTGCTGTAAAATATTCATCAAGTTCTTCTGCATCATTGTCTAGTAACGTCCAATCCCCTGTTACGTCCCGTTCGGTGTCTTCCCCAACAGGGATACATGATGATCCTCGCGTTCAAGAAATGTTGCAAACCATGCATCGTTATCAAAATGGCCCAAAATATTACTCTTCTCCCCCCTCTTCTTATATAAAGGCGTCAACGAAGCATCATTTTCGTACTGCAAGTATAAGTGCTGCTTTGCATAGATCCGGTGTAAATAAATATTATCATAGAAACGATGAAGATGAAATGATTGAAGAAAAGCAACAATTGATAACGCATTATTTATTAACACGCGTGTGGATTCCACAAAAGAGCGTTGATGAATTAAGTTCCTTACGTGAACCTCATAAGAATTCTTATAGCAGTAGTAATCGAGCACCAGGCGCTGCTTCATGGAGTGGACCTCCAAGTAGCACAGTTCCGAACACAAATGGTGCCCAACGTGGGAGTACCGGAAGCACGGTTGGTGGAAGTAGTACAAGCACTAACACAAGTAACGGTGTTGGAAGGACGAGTTCAACTAGTGGTAGTGGTGAATCGCGACCGCATAGTCTTGAAGAAGTAGTTGATACGGTTCCAACTGTATCAGTTACTTCAAAATCAGATAGGGCTGGGCCCATTTCCGACAAAGAAAGTGGTAGCATAAAAGAGAAAAGAAATATCACCGAAAAAGTTGGAAGTATTGGAAGCTTCCTCTTTGGTTCTCGAAATAGTTTAGATAAAGCGCGAGACGAAAAAGAAAAAGAGGAAAAGAATAAGAATGGAGATTTAGATACTGATTCTTTATATGATGATTGCTCTGAAGAAATTGTCAAATCCCATTCTGAACAAACTAGTAATAAAAGGGCAAGTTGGCGTGCTATGAGGGTGATGTTTGGAGGACATGAAACTGGCGATTCACTAAAGAGTCCTACCGCTATGATAAGGTCATCTTCTCATTCCAGAAGTTCTTCCAGTGGAGAATTGAATCCAAAAAATCATTCCACAACTTTCATAAAAGCACATGGGCGTACATCCTCAGCCAATCCCAAATCGATTACAACACGCAGATCATTAGAGGAACCACGTTCTTCCACACCTCCCCCATTACTTCCAAAACCGCCAACTTTAATGCAACGCAGTTCAAGTGCTTCATCTGCAAATAGCATGGGTTCAAGTGCTAGTGCAAATATTCCAGGGAAGCGGAGTAGTATTGGAAATAGTACCATACCACTTGGAGGTGGAAACATTGAAGGACTTGATAATATGCGAATGGTTCTTGCGAAGAAAGTAGCAAATGAGGTCGCAGCCGGTGGTGTAACTTTGGAAAGGAATTGGCAATGACAAATTTTTTTTGTTTTTGTGGGTTTCAAGCTCAGTTCTGACTATTCACTTTAACTGGATTCTCCATAAACAGTTATTGTATGTATGTATGTTTGTATGTATATATGTATGCGTGTATGTATAATAACAATATATACAAGTCATTGAAATGAGCAACATGTACATGTAGACAACGCTTTTGAGTTTTAAATGTATATGAATATGCAATGATTCATATACAAACTAGAAGCATTAAATAACATTACAAACTTTTGTTAGCAACTCATTTTACTGTGTAAATTACGCATTTCTTTTTTTTTTTTCCTTTTACATACTTGCACTTTCTCATACATTATGTATATTATATGAAATTCTTTTCACTTCTGTATCACAACGGACTATATTTTTTGTTTTAACGGACTTTTTCTTCGTGCAAAATTTGTTAGTTTTGATGCCATCAACCATCTGTAAATAGCTTTATTTGTTGTCATTAAAATGGTTTTTTTTTTTTTGTGATTATTGTATTAAATTTGTTTTTTTACACAAAAAAAAAAAAGAAAAAAAAAGAAAAAAAAGAAAAAAAAAACCAAAAAAAAAAAAACAATCAAAAAAACAAAAATTATGGTTCTTTTTTTAGGTTATTTTTATTTTTCTTTTTTGGGGAGTTTTGATGTTTGGTTTTATGTTTGTAGAATGATTTTTTTTTTTGACCTTTGAACTGAAATTTTTTTTTCAACGAAAACATTTCAAGTATTAAAAATGATTTATAGGCACAGGACCGTGAGTTCATAGAATTTTTTGTGTAATTTATCGAACACGTGTATGTACAAAAAATTTTTTTTATCTAAAAAGTTCAGGAATTAATAAATACCTGTTTTGTTTCTTTAAAAAAAAATAATACATAGTAAACATTTTATAATGTCAATTATCTGAATTTACTGTTACATTACACTGTAAAATATTATAATCTAACCAATCTTTAAAAACAATATCGTTAAATATTACAACCCTCCGATTATGAAGCTAAAATCTAACCAGTAAATAATCTAAAAAGTAAATACGTGCAACAACCGATAAATCTAAAAGCAGCTAATCCAGTTACAGACCAAAGAATGAAAGCCATATAATCATTACTTCTTTTTTGTTGAGGCAATATTGAACTTAAGGTTTCACTGGCATTTGTAATAACAGCTACTAATGCAGCATTGCTAATGATCCAAGCAAGTACTACTTCTGTACGGAATGCTTTATAATAATCTTCTTGTTTTTCTTCTTTTGAAGGTTCCTTGTGTACCTCTTCAACATGCCGTGCTAACTCAGTAACAGCTTCATCATATGCAGCATTAATATCCTTTTGATCAACAGGTGCTTCAACATCGACTTTTCCTTCTTTCCCAGGTGCAGAAACAGTACCCAAGTTTTTTACTGCTCCTGTATCACCTTTTGTACCCCAACTATATTATGAAAATAATCATTGCCATATTTATGTAAGAAAATATGATAGATTAATGATTAAAAAAGGATGAGATCAAATTTTTTTTTTTTACCTGACATCATGGACGTTACAAAACGCGTAAACGTTTAAGATATTTATATAAAATGGTACCAATAGCAGATATTGTCCTAAGCTAGTGAACATATGCCATGGATCAAAGAACAAGAAACTTGCAAAGATATATAATCCATATGTAGTGACCACAGAAAGGATAATATTTTTAAAAGTAGAATCGCTAAAAATGGCTCCAGCGGTGGACATGTTGGCACCAGTAAGGCTACTTGTGTTACGCAATTCTTCTAACTGGAATTTAACTCCTTTATATGTAAGCCAACCTGTTGCGAACAACATGTATAACATAAGGCCAGAAAAGAATACTATTGAGCTGACGTAGGCCCATCTTGTACTGTAAATAAATAAATTAATTAATTAATTAATTATGTATTATTACTATATGACCAAAAGATTTATTATTATTATAATGTGAAATTTACCCTTGAGGTCTATTTCCCATGGCTAAAACGAATTGAATCAAAAGTAATGCCAAATAAACGTAACGTAAGATCTGAAAAATTATGTCACCCGCGGTTTTACTCCAAAGGCCTTCAATAACCAACGGATCGGTTAAAGAATTGCCTAAAATGTAAAATGTCAAATAGAAATTACCCTAATTAACATAAAAAGAAAAAAGGATTTTAATTATAAAGCGTAAATATATATATATATACTTATATAATTTTTCTTACCAATGCAAACCATGAGAAAAAAAGGGTATATGCTTGATACACCATTTCGATGTGTAAAAAGATTTTGCGAATCACAGTATGATCACTTCTCCAAATAGCAAAAGTATGACAAATAGCATAAACACCAGCAAAGAAAGAACCATTTAACCAACGTCGTCTTTGAGAGATTAATTCAGGCACTTGATCAGGTACATCAGTTTCCGCGTATGCAGATTTAACATAGTGCAATAACCAAGAACAATTACGCTTGGCCACCAGTTCGAAACAAAGGATACGATCTTCAGCGAGATACATATTAGCGGTGAATATATCGGCATCATCGCCATGAGCAGCTTCACCCAAAAAGTAAGAAGCCAAAGGACCATTTCCATTTATGTCGTTCTGAAGAGCTCGATAACGGTAAGCGGAGAAAGCACCGGGTAATACAGTGATATAACCGAATACAGATTCAAGTGGTTTATCCAAAATATTGGATATTTTATATTCAAAGTTTTGAGCGGCAACAATAGGATTTAAGAGATTAACACCAGCAGTTCCTTTCATAGCAACGATTTCACCACAAGCGCCAGCAATATTAGAATTGAGATCAAAAGCTTTCCATAAATGATATAAGGAAGTACCACCAGGTTTTGTACCAACATCAAGAAGAATACATACGGTTGGTTTAATTAAAGTACCAAATGCGTTGAAAAACCAACGATGAGAGTTAATCTTTTTAGCATTCTTTTCTTTAAGACAGAATAAGACTTGAATAGGAACGATTTCACCCTTTTCACCTTTAAATTTCATATCAGGATCAATTGAAAGTTGAGTTGTATACTCATAAATATGAGCAGTAACATCCTTATTGTTGAAAGTATTTTTTGCAATGCCATCTTGATATACACCAATTGCAGCCAAATAAGCCAAAGTACGTTGATTAATTTTTAAACGACCATCGGATACAACACAAACAACAACTTTTTTCCATCCATTTTCACCCCAAACACGAGAGCGGTCACGACTGCAAAGATGAGTAATGTTTTTTACAACACTATGAAAAGTGCGGGCAAAAAGGATTTCGTCTTCCTGTTAAAAAAAATAAATTGACCGAAACATGGTGTCACGGCATTTGAATAAAATAAATAAATAAATATGTGATCTGGATATGTTAGTCATCGGAATTAATATCTTATTGCAGATGCTGTGCTGTTTGCATGCATCACCTAAAATATTTCAGTATGGATTTTTTTGGATAAATTACCGAAAATATTTTGGAGATTTAATAATACCGAAATACTTTCGGAAAATCCATAATAGTTTCTACTTTATGTATAAAGACCATCAAACAGGTACTCTACTGGATTTTTCTTTACCAATACTTAAATTAATAAATAATACTTACGTTATACATAGTCAACACTATAAATAGTTCAGTTTGCCTTGGGGGATCATAAAGCATTTGACGAAGTGTATATTTCTCTTGTTCAAAGTCATCAGGTTTACACGTGCATGCAGTGTATCTCATATGTGTGAACTCTCTATCCTCCCTTCTTTGAACTTTTTTCAATAATTCAGTAGGTACAGGACAATCTAAAACCAAATTACCCTTAAATAATTCCACGCGTTTTGTAGTTTTGTAACGACGTGGTTGGCGCGCTGGAGCTCTACCAAAATGACGTGAAGATCGATCAGGCTCAGCGAAAGATACGCCGCCGCCACCACCACCTTGAGGAGTCATTAAGGGCTGAGAATCACCTTCCCCATAAGTTTGGTATTGTGGTGGGTAGTATTGCTGTTGTTGCTGCTCAGGAGGGTATCCTTCTGGAGGAGGATACCCACCTTGATAGTTCGACATTTGGATCCGTTAAAAGGGTCACGAGACAAGTTTATTAGTTCAAAGAGCTTGTAACTTTCGGCTTTCTATGGTTATTATTAATTATTTTTTATTTTTAATTAACTCTTTAACTCTTATTATAAGTTTTTTTTTTTTTTTTCGTGCAAAAATATAAGATATTATTCAGAATGAACGATGTTTATAAATTTTTTTTTCAAGAAACCACTTTACATCGATCTCCGGAGGCTGTGGGGTGATTAAAAATTTAAGAATATTTTAAATATTGAAATTGATGTTCATTACACATGGATACTGGATGGAACAAGCCGTAACTCGTATATTTTTACAAGAATCGATTTCGTGTAGGCTGATAAATAAATGGAGAAGTAATTTATTTATAATGAAGTCTTACAATATGTATCACTATTACGCAGATTTTTGTGGGAAGTCTAAGTCATACATATGTAAAAATAGAAAAAGACGACCATATTCTGATTAAATATAAGAATATAAGAGAATTCGTACTCGCGATTATACAAGCTCCGACTTAATACATCACATCGATCATGCATAACTTGATTGGTAAGAATTTATAGATGACTACCTTCTCGACGTATACGTCGGAGTTTTGTACAAAATCAAGATTCAGTCGAGTTTAATTAAAGAAATCACGAAATTAGAAAATACAAATACGAATGTCCGTATTGCGTAAATTGCGCCCCTGGGTTTCCTAATTCAGGAAATTTTTCGAGTACGTACTTTATTTATCAATGACTTTAATAATTGTGTTAAGAACTATAATGATAAGTGATGATAACTGCTTTTGATTAAAAAACCTTGCCACATGCTTTGCCCACGGGAAAAGTATTATTTTCATATAAATCTTGTCAATCGAGATTGCGGCTGTGATCCGATCAATTGCTGCAATATTTGAGGCTGTGAAATGATCTTCATGTATTTGAATAAATCACCGTGATGATAAATTTTTGAACAATTGATTAATTTCAATAGACATATGTGCGTGTACCTAAGATGATTACCAAACACCAATAATTAGTCACGTGGTCGAATCTGTGGAGTAAAGCCAATAATAGATTTGTCTATGAAACTGCCTTTCTTGTATGATTCTTTACAATGAACAGATAATACAATATCTTACTATTATTATAAAAAATAATTTATCTCGCTTATTTGTATCTTAACAATACCACCATATACGTATGAGATGTACAGTCACATGACAATCAGCAAACCACTTAGCATACCTATTACAAGTAATTTCTTGGTTTTCATGACAGATCTTGCCTGCTTATTTGTTTTCAATTTTATTAAAACATTCACTCACTGATGATTAAAATGAAAAATCTGAACTCAATTAAGTTTGTATATTAATCTATGAATCTAGTCACATCAAATCTGCGCCACTTGGTAATCGATAATCTCGGAGTGACGATCAAACTCAACCAATCAGATAGTATTTGTCAACAACTGTATCACTTCGATAAATAAGGGTAAATTTTGTAAAAAAAGATGCCGATACATTATTTTATAGGTTTACAAATCCTAAATACTTAACAAGAAACGATAGGGTTGTTAATGACTGGATTGGGTTGATCCAATCTCCATTAAATTAGACGTGCGATATTCTATTTTCAGGTTGCGCCAGATCTACTCCGGGCTGTTCCAGGTTGCTCCAAATTTTTTATAAACCCACTCCAATCTGGGTTGGTTCAACCCGAAGTGGCTCCAGAGTATACTACTCCGTTAATTCTTTACTTTCTTAGTATTAAGTAAAGGAAGACAAATAAAAATTAAAATTATATATTTTTTAAATAGAGTTATTACTATATATTACGTATTTTGTTTAGATTAAATAGGACTTGTAAAAATAGACATACGTATAATAATAAGTATATTTGCCGATCCTATGTCATACATAAACTTCGTAAAGAAACCAGAAATCCAAAATCCGACCATAGAAAAAAGAATCCGATTTCTTAAATTTACTTCGATATAAAAATACCTATTATATGGTACGATTTATTTACTGGTTTGTATTATACTATATAGTGATGCTTACCAGTAATAGTAAGAATTATATATACGTATCTTTTAAACTGTTTTGCAGGCAAATTTTCCTGCAATTTTAAAAATATTTAAATTTTTTAAATAAACCAAGAAATTAATAATTTAAATTTTTTTTCTTTTATATAATATATTATATATTAAACTAGCCTTTTTAGGATTAGAGTTTTTTATTTAGTATTATAGAACACAGGACCTCATAACCAAATACCTTAGTGAAGTTATCTTATATTAGAGAGTACATCTAGTCACATATACATTTTTGGTGTTTAATTTAAGTAGTTTACCTTATATAGGTTCTATACTAGTTGTTATACTTGCAATCCAACTATGAGTATTGTTTATTTAAACCTTCTGTATTGTAATCTTTATTGTATCATTAGAACATTTCTAATATCAATATTAGTTAAAAAGTTTTATATATTTACTCATATTTTTAGAATATCTATTTTGTTTATGCAGTTTATCTTTGAGGTATTATTACTAAACTTTTCTGTATCTTATTTTTATAATTGACTTAGTTTTCAATTCTTGTAAATTCATACAATCTTGGCATTTTTTTTTATAATCTTACTAGTATTTTATTTACTTTTGTAAGCTTTCTTATAATCAGGTTGATAAACCTTTTATTTAAAGATTTTTGTCTGTACAAATTATCTGTTTTTTTATGCTTGAATCAATTAATAGTCAGGTTAATAAATCTTCTATCTAAAGGTTCTTGTCTGTACAATTTATTTGTTTTAGATTTTTTTCTTTAAATTAAGATCTTTATAGGTGATAGTATCAAAAGTTATATTATCTTTTATTTAAAATTTCTAAATAAACTTTTTATTATTAAAATGCAGTACTTGTAATCTAGAATTTTATTGATATATTGATAATATGTCTTAGTTAATAGTTGTTTATACAACTATAAAAACAATTATAAAAATAATATACAATTAGTTATTTGTATAATTTTAATTATTATTTAATTTAAATAATTTATTTGAAAGTTTTATATTAGTTGTTATACCTAGAACTCACTTGTAAACCTTTTATTTAAATATTCTAGTTTTCATATTTATATTTATTCTACTAATAATTTTGATAACTTAATAAAGATATACTATAGATACTAAGTCATATTTAACTTTATACTAAACTTATTAGAGCTTTTTGTATTTTATACTTATAGCTAGCCTAATATTACTTTGATCTAAACTAGCACTTATAATTAGAACTGACTATTAAATTGCTATATCTTTGTAAATTTACTAAAAGCTTAATATTTATTTTTTTAATATTATTCTTTTACTCTAAACTCAATTCTTCAAACTACTAATTCAAATGATCTAGTATAATATTTAATTAAAGATTTTTTTTATCAAATATATTTCAGTAGCCTAGTTAATATATGCTCTTCTATATATATTGATATTTAATTTATTAAGTTCTTTCTGAGGTTTGTAATTTTTTTGAATTTTTTTAATTTAGTAATATTATTAAAAGTCTATATTTTTTTATTTTGGTTTTTAAGTAGATTTTTGTATTTTGGTTTCTTAGTATTATATATCTAATAGTTTTATTATAGGTTTGCAATAAAGTTTTATATAATACTAATTAATTAATATTCAAAATAACTCTTTCTGATGATCATTCGAACCAAACTTTTCAAAAAGCCAAACTACAAAAAAACGATATAGTTAATATATTAAACTTTATAAAAACTTTTCCAGAGTACTGTACACACATAGTTGAACATTAAAATAGAGTTAAAAAAGAAGTTGCAGCTTTGTGGTGACAGTTTAAATGCACTTTAGGACTATAGAAAAAGTAGTTGGTGAAAGTCAAAGTTTTCTATAAAATAAACAACAAAGTTGAATATATTAGTTCTATACAACTGTAAAACCTACAAGGAACATCTATAAAGGTCAAGAACTCATAAAAGCTACAAAGTTGGTTCACCTCTTGCCTTTACTTTGCTTTGAAGAAATTTTGTAAAAGTGGGCAATTTAGTTTACCCCCTTCTAAAGATTAACACATAAAACTACCAAAACAGTCAGCAATGTTTACTTCCTAAACAGGTTTGTTGATGATGTAGATCAAAACAAAACAGTAATACAAACACGACTATACATGTGCCTCAAAATACTAAAAAACCTGAAAACACTGCCTTCGGACTAACTAGT